TGGTGGACGCCTCTTAATCAATGCCCATTGAGCACTTTGTGGCCGATGGAGCATTTGTGAGATTTTGTACGCAGGACGTGCTGAGCGAGCAGTGATGGCAGCGTGAGACAGGCTAATGGCTGTGTGATGGGTTATCAGAGCCACTGCTGCTAGATCAATTGAAGCCTGAGTAGAAACAAAAGCAAACTGTGTTATATAGGTCAGTCAATACTTTCAGTAATGATGAAGTAATCTCTGCGATGTTCGGAGACCAGTCGATGCTTGCACACCTTTTATTTTGTGGATATTTGCTACATATGGGTTCCCTGGCAACACCTCTCCTCCTACTTTGCCTTCTTCCCTCAGATCAAACTTGAGTCATTTACCATTTACCCAAGCAAGACATATACACCTCTTCCTGGTTAGTTGTATACATGCAATGTAGGTCAGTGTTAACTAAAAATAGTGGGGCTACTACAAATTTTTCAGTAGAATTGTGTTTCTTGTCTAGTGATGAACTAAATATTTAGTTAAAAGGTGTTTTTTTATTGTTTTTAAGTCTTTTTTTGTTGTTGTTTCATTAGTCGTGTTTAGCCCAAATGTACTGTATGTGTCAACTTTGATGCAGTCACACTAATTGAGAGTCATTTCAAATATCTTCGTTATTCGTCATAGTCGTCATAGAGCTGAATCATTTGAAATACATTTTTTGTATATTGGTATTATGACTCTCTATGATATCTCTTTAATTAAAGTCAATAATTGTATCCCTTTATCCCACTCATCTTTGATCACCAAAATTATATATTTAATCTTTTTTTCCTTAGAAGTCTTTTTTTATGCCTTAAAATATCTTGAATGTAACTCGACACCCTTGCCTCATTTAGTATACGCGGTTCTATGAATATGCAAATGAGCCCCGCCTCCACTCACTCACTCAGCTCAGAGATCCACTGGTTGATGATCACACGTTGATCTGATTGGTTACAAGGTCGTTTGTGACGTCAGAAACACCAGCGATTTCAAACCGTGTTTTTGAGACTGTCTTTGGTTCACTGCAGTTTAAGCAGAAAATACTCAGCAATGCTCTCGACTTATGAATTTACACATGGTTTGTCTTAAAGCATATTAAAAACACCACATAGACATATAAACAACATTAAAAGCTTGATTTTCACCACACTGTAAAAAGTGCTACACCCACAAAGTAGGTTTTATATATTTTAAATATTTGTAATCTAGTTTATTTTATTGGTTTTATACAAAAAAAGTATCAAAATACTTCCTCTCTACTTAAAATATATCTGTTTTTATATAACAATATATTTTAAATAAAACCCATGCAATTTATTTGGGTAGTTATTTGTATGTGGTTGTTGTGTACAATAAATGTTATAAAAGTGAGTTGACAATGCACAATTTATTTGAGCAGCTGACGATGTGACAGGTGTGTTCATCAAACGTAAATATTTTAAATTTTATGAGTTGGCATTATCCCTTTTTCGCTGGCGGGGACTCCAGGCAGATGCAATATCTTCCTCGGCACTTCAACTGTTTGGTCGATGCAGCGGATCTGAATTTCAGGGTCTGATTAACACGGTAAGTTGAGCAAATGTAGCCGAATGACTGGTGATGTAAACTAAAGTCACGCAAAATCGCTTACTCCACTAGGGAGCTGAGGTTAGGTTTGCTAATTGTATAGCTATAGCTATCCTGCACACATGGTAAGCTATATGGCTGCACAGTGTGGTCGATCGGCTGACAACAGCAGTGTTTAAAAACACATACAAGTTACGTATGTAATAATTAGTTGCACAAATGCCCTCAGTTATATTTTTAGATTGCACAGATTAAATTTCGGGATCATATGCGATCGAAACGGTCGCAATTTCGGGCCTTCAGGCAATAGTTGTGCGGGCAAATAAGGGAAAGTAAGATGTGGTGTTTTATGGACAACACTTTGTTTTGTGTGTTGTGTGTCTTTGACAGGACTCAGAGATTATGTTATTATACTTTTGCATTACTATAGCAGATGCACAGATTAGACTGTAGAGATGTATGTTTAGTAGTCTGTCTGATTTTAGAGATTTGATCCACGTTATTTTAATGCTGCATAGTCAATTAATGACATATTTTTGGTCTAGATTTTTAAACTATTTCTAACCTATTACTTAAAGAAGTTACATTTACAACTGATTTTTTAACTTTATTTCTAACATCTAACATTTTCCTGGTCTTTAGATACCCAAGCACTTTTGTTACCTGTGGTCTTCGAGCTTCACATCCAGGTAAGACAAACTTCAGAATAGATTCAATTACAATTTGATCAGATTATATGTGTTCTGTAAGTCCAATAGACGTTCAGGGAACCTCCATACAAGGTTAAAAACTAGTTCAGATGTGGACATATTTTATGTAATTTAATGTCTCATTTAGACAATTTAAACTGTTTCTGGACCAAATAAACACTTTCAGGATGCATTAAATTAAAACACATGTTTATTTCAATGTAATTTCTAATTGCCAAGCAACTCACAGACAGTGTGTGTTTGTCCAAAAATCATGAAATCATTACTGTCTACTTAGGGCAGGCAGCTTAAGGTCCCTGGTTCGAATCTGATTTCTCTCACGATCCAAATATGTATAAATTACAGATGCTAAGCTGTCTAAAGGTGTCAGTGCGTGTTTGTCCAAAAATCATGAAAAGAAACTTCACTGTCTGTGAATTGCTTTGCAATTACACATGGAAATTACATTGAAATAAATGTGAGTTTTAATTTAATATATCCTGAGAGTGTTTATTTGGTCTAGAATAAGTATAAATTGTCCAAATGAGACCTTAAATGATGTTGAAAATTGTCCACATTGTCCACATCTGAACTAGTTTTCAACCTTGAATGGAGCTTCCGTGAACGTTCATTACAGAACACCTCAAAAAAAGTCGTAAAAACTTTCATTCTGGCTCCTCAGTGGACGTCTTTTCAATGTACTTCTTTGTGACAAAGACGTTGAAAAGATGTCTTTTGGACATAATTTTGCTTAGTGGGTTTATTAATATTGTGATGATATGGGGTGATTATGTTTGCTCTTGAAAGATATTTAAACTCTGTAGCTTAATTAACAGTAATGTGATGACCAATCAGGTACAGGCAAGGACAATTGGATTTGTTTTATTGTAATGAATGCTTTGAACCAGAAAAATACAACACTCATGCTAGAGTAGATCATGATATTTTAGTACCCACACTCTATGGCATTGTCATGGTAGACTTCACTCTGGTCACATGTTCTAGTCAGAGTATCCATCTTGTATCCACCACCTTTAGCAACAAAAGTACAATTTGGACTTTGTGTCTTATCTCTTCTACCTGTCTGCTACTCATCTCATTTCCTATTTGTCTGACCAAACTCTTGTTTCTTTTTTGTCTCCACCAATAGAGTCGGGCTGAAACAGAGGTGCACGCTGAGCTTGGCAGTTGCCCACTGAAAATTTACATGTGCCATCACCCCGACACGATTGGGATTATCATATAAGGACAGCCCGTGGTCAGAGGTGTGCCAAACCTGTCGAAAGCATGCTGCCTCCTGTTTGGACTTACCTATGCTCTCGACTTCAAGTATCCCTCAAAACTGGTGTATACTTGAGATATATCAGAGGCTTTTTGTAGGATTGGACCCTGTGCGTCCTAAACCATCATCATGTCATTTTTGACATTGCAGTTAGTGTGATACAATGTGATGTTATGGCTCACATTTACCTTGATCCAAACATTTCAGATTGGGCAGTTTGGATATTTTACTGTACTGTTCAGAACAGGTTGAAAATACACTTCAACAGTGTTTGTTTTATATTAGAGTGTACATGTGCGGCCACATTTATTTGCTGTTTTGTAGTCACTGTTAAAAGTGACACTGGTTGACATTGAATAAATTGAATATTGTCTTCAATCTATCTTCTCATCTTTTTCTTCTTCAAATGAATTTGTAATGGTTATTGACAATTAAAAAAAATATATTAAAATGTTTATTCACATATGATTTAGTTAATTTTACTAAGAAAATAAAGTTCATAAAACCTAATTAAAATGAGTACAGGTTACTTGTAGCAACCCATAAATAAGTTACCTGTACCAATAAAAGTAGGTTTATCTAACTGAGTAATACTAGTACTATTAGTTAACTCAACATGATTTTGTTGCGTTTGTATAAAGTAATGTTAAAGTGTTCAATATACTTAAAAAAGGCTGCAAGTTGAATCAACATAAAACATCCAATGCAGCCACTTGCCTCACTTTTTATAAGTTAGATCTAGGTATTACTTTTTACAGTGCACAGGGGGACTTTAAAGTAAAAGCCTGCATATTATTCATCGAATTCAGATGTGTCTCTTTTGACTGGGATTATGTTATTTGATTTGATTATTCAGTTATTGAATTGAATAATTAATTTGATAAATTATATATAATTTATCATTTACAGGTGAAACTCGAAAAATTTGAATATCGTGCAAAAGTTCATTTATTTCAGTAATTCAACTTAAAAGGTGAAACTGATATATTGTATAGACTCATTACATGCAAAGTGAGATATTTCAAGCCTTTATTTGTTGTAATTGTGATGATTATGGCTTACAGCTATGAAAACCTTTTCACGATATTCTAATTTTTCGAGTTTCACCTGTATACAGAAAGAAGTTATGAATGTAAATATATGCTACTGGTGTGTATGGAAAGTCTTATTATAGTAAATCCAATCGTAGTGTCTAAATACGCTGATTGCAGAACTTATCTTTGCCAATTGTTTTCTCTCACACAGATGTTTTCTGTGTCTCGATGTTCTGCATCTGATGTCTGGATGGCTAATGATAATAGATATGTAGACTGTGTAATTCGGTTAATTGCTCTACACCTCATAGCCTTATCATCATCATGCAAAGAGCACCATTCAATCAGTAACTTCCTTGAAATGGCTTTGAATTCGTGGTCAGCGATTGACAATGTCCTCTCTCATGTCTCCTGCAGTGTATTATGGGAGCCCATGGGTGACGGAAAGCGTGTGATATCTCTGGCTGAAAACCACGTGCTGCTCTGGGACCTTCAGGAGAGCTCCAGCAAGGCCACGGTGAGATTCATTATTTTCATAATTGCCGTGTTTCACAGCCCTTCTTTCAGCACTGCAGCAATGACACTGGCACTGCATATCAATAAAAGTCATCATCCTTAACAGCAAAATTCATTTAAAGTTCGTATCTCTATGACATTCTTCTGTGGAACACACACACACACACACACACACACACAAAAGAGATATTTCGAAGAGTGTTAATGCTTTTTTTTTATAAAATGAAATTATGTGACCAGCTGTCAAGCTCTGAGAAAAAAAAAGCAAAATTCACACACTGTAAGATATCTGGAGGGCAAACATTTTATAACAATAGCTTTAAAACCATGCTAGTCTTTATCATTTTCGTCTGTGTCAGTGAAAAAAGTGAACACATGGCAATGAAAAATGTTCATGTTAAATAGCATTTAGGTTTGGAATAAAACATTTTGAATAGGCAAATGAATATCCAAATTTTAACCTCAATTTTGAACTATTCATATTTAAATTATGAGCACAGACCAGTTATTTTATGTTATTTTAGTGATACTGTTATACTTTTTATTAATACTTTGTATTAGTTTTTATTTTTTTCCATTTGATATTTTTTTTGGTTAAAATGTAATTGTCATTTTTACTAGATTTTATAGATCTCATATAGATAGTCTATAATTTGTATTTCAGTTTTAGTTTTAGTTGGTTTAGTGCATCAATTTTGACATAAAAAATATAAATGTTAGGGAATTTTTTTCACATTTTTTTAAATGTAACATTAGTATTGATTTTATGGTTTTAGTTTGTTAACTATAAAAACCCTGCCATGGACATACAGAAGTTGCAGACACTAAGGCGTTTCTTGTCAAAAAGAGAAAATGAATCAAATTAAGAATGAGACTTATGAAGAAAAATATTTAAAGAACTATCCCTTATTGTAAAGTAATCTATTTGCATTATTTAATAGGCTGAATGACTGTCCTAACCACAGTCTTTAAACACACTTATCAAAGACACACACTTTTCTGATTATGACCTTTGCCTGTTTTCGACTGCGATTGTGGATTAGCCTTTCAATAAAACTGCATTTGGATCCTCAACCTTCGTGTCTCGGAGCAGTTCGTGACAATAAGTGAATTTACTGAAAGGCTATGAGGAAAGTGTAACGAGGTTCATTAAATTCATCGCAATTTGCACACATTCATTCTTAATCTTATGCCTATTATGCTGAAAATGGCTCCATCTCTAGATATTATCATTTCTTTCGTTATACAGTTGCCAAATAATAAATGTTTTGCTACTTAAATCTTACATCTCTATTTTTTATTGTTAAAACTAGGGGTGTAATGGTACATGTACTCGTACCGTATCGGCTTCTGTGAACAGTAATGGTAAAGCCCGCCGCCTTTGGGTTGATCTGCCATCTTACGTTTTAAAAAAGCAAGCAAAATCTTTTTCTAATCATAACCATGTATTACTGTGTTGTTTTCCCAATGCATAGGGCCCTTTAAAAAAAAAAAAAAAATCCCCCAAATTCCCAGTGTTTTCCATTTCAATTTTTCTGGGTTACATTTTTTTAATGGTTAAATTCAATTCCAATAATTAAAATGGATGTCTAATCAATTGAATTTATACATCTTTAACAGTTAAATACTTACATTTTGTATGTTTTTTAAGTGTATTATGATTTAATAGCAAAACCATTGGTAATCAAATGAATGCATAACACGTTTTAATTCATCTTTTAAAATGTAATCAAATGAAACTTAATAATTAGTTGAATGTTTTGAGCAAGCAAAGTGCTGCACAACAGAGGTCTTTCAATTAAAACATGGATGAACAATTGTGATGTTCCTTAAAAATAATGGTTTAATGGTTTAATACGTGACTGGAAATCTGGGTAAAAATCTGAGCTGAAATCTTGTACTGTAATGTATTGGTAAAGTGGCAGTGTTTCGTGATTTAAATATAGTACTATTGTAGTCACTCACCATATAGTTATTGAATTAAATCTTCTTACAATAAGCGATTGATAGATCAATATTTCCACCTCCAGCAACGACCAGAATGTGACACAGTAATTCAAGAATAGAATCGAGATTCATATGTGAATTCACCCCTAATATTGACCTCCATGTACAGTATTTTTAGTAGAACATTTTAGTGTGAACGCTGCCATCCGAACCCTGGTGCCACCAAACAAGTGGACCCACTGAAAAGATATATACAAACGAACTCTGGTGCAGTTCGAATGAATATGAACACAACACAGACCAAAGACATGTAAACAAACCAAAAATACCTGTTTTTCCTTGTCATATTTCTGAAGAGACTTGTTTCAAAAGCATAACACATTTCAAATAAACACATTTCACTTTTGTATGTGTGTGTGTGTGTGTGTTTGTTTACGGTTTATGTGGACACAAATGTGTGTAATGACATGAATATTACAACGTAAACATGGTATATAAGAGACTTCATGTGTCCTCGTAAACCAAATGGCTTAAAAAACATATCAAAATGTGTTTTTTTTTATTCAAAATAATGCAGAAAGTTTTCTGTGATGGAAGAGTTACACATATGAATGCATAACACGTTTTAAACTGTGTTACTGTTATCATCACTTTGAGAAGTGCATTCTACTGTTCAGTTTTAATATATTTCTGTCATCAAGTTAAACCGAACTTTCATATTTCAATAGCAATAGTTTTTTTTTTTGTGGTTTAATATCATGGTTTGATAAAGTGTACTCTGCTTTTGAATTTTGATTTATTGATCCAAATTCTGCCAAATTCCATGACATTCTTCATTTATACAGTAAATAATCCATTTCATGACTGGATTCCACAATTCCATCAGTGTTTTTGCACCTGATTGGAAATCAGCTCTAAAAGCCTGCTAGTCTAAACTGTAGAAACGGCTTTGCACCTAATGTTCATTAATAATCAGCTGCAGTCGTTACTAATTAATGGACTGCGATGTCACAGGCCTTTGCGAACATAACCTTGACTCGACATTTGACGAGCCGTCACGTGCGAAAACACTCTCGCTCCCGACGGAGGCTGGAGAAAAGGCCCGTCGTTGCCATCACACTGAGCCGCTCCATGAGGTCCCGCTAATGTCAGCTTTGCATGCAAAGCGAGGGGAGGTTATCGAGTGGCAAGGCCTGCTGAGTGCAGCGTGCCCATTAAAAACCAGAGAGAGGGAAAAGAGGGGGAGGCAGAAAGAGAAAGAGGATGTTCGGAAAGCTTTCGGCACAGCTAGATTCCAGCGGTGTCGTGAAGAATGCTAATCTGCCTCATGCAAATCTTCCCTTACGCCGCCCCCATCCTCACAACACACACACACACACACACATACACACTCGTCGTCAACCTCCCCCATCCGCTCATCCCTCAGTTCTTCATAAAAGCTCAGGTTGATGTGTTTATCACCACGCTGCGTCTGCTAGTGTTCGGATATCGCTGTACAAAAGCGAGACGCGGCCACCAGGCTCACGGCGACGTGTTTCTGGGGCGTTTTCTCCACAGGAAAAGCCTTCTCAAACAAATCGGCTGAGAAAATAATCAAGGTACAAAAATAAAACATAACAGATATAACAAAATATGAGATCAACTAGTGTATCTATTTTTTTTTTAAAAACTGTTCACTAACAGAAATTATTTACAGTATCTTATTGACACATATTCAGTTTGAATTATTCAGTGCTTGCCAAACACACAAAAGTCCTTTTTTTACTTTTACTTTTAACAGATTTCTTTATAGTATTGTTTGTCAACTCTGTTGCAGTCAAATTAGTTAATGGTAACAGAGAAACAGAGTTTAACAGTAACAGAATTTCCAATTTTTAACTTTTTAGTCAAAAACCCCACTTGCTAGCATAAATGCTAAAAGCACATGGCACTAATGAAATCGAATTATCTGAAGTTCGGTAAAAAACCTCATGCGAATAAAGCTGGTGAAAGCTGGCTTTAAAGCGGATAAAAACCTGTGCGTAATGACGTCACATGCTGTTTTGCGATCAAATTGGTATATCGAATTGATTTGAGACATGTTAAGGTGTTTCCATTAGTGATGTGCGATACTGCAAATTTCTGTATCGATCCGATACCAAGTAAATACAGGGCCAGTATCGCCGATATCGATACCGATACCGATACTTTTTAAAAGCATGCATTTGAACTTTTATGCACTTTCCTGTGCTAGAGCAGTGTGTCATGATTTATGAGGTGAATGCATCATTAATATGCTAAATCTGAACACTTTTTCATGACTACTAGGCCTAAATATTTTGTGATTTGTGCTCTCAACTCCCCTTTAATTAGTCAGTGACTTTTATAAAACTAATTATAGTACAAGCCTACTACTAGCCTACTGTTCAAAAGTTTGGGGTCTGTAAGATTTTTATTTCTCTTAGTAAAAACTGTAATATTACAATTTAACAATTTAACATAGGCTATCTGTTTTCTATGCCATAGTAAACTGTAATTTATTCATGTGATCAAGGCTGAATTGTCGGCATCATTACTCCAGTCATGATGATAATTCATTTTAATATGCTGATTTGCTGCTCAGGAAACATTTCTTATTATTATCAATGTTGAAAACAGTTTCATATTTTGTTGGAAACCATGATACATTTTAAGCAGAATTATTTGATGAACAAAGTTGAAAGAACAGCATTTATATGAAGTAGATTTTTTTTTAACAGTGTAAAACCCTTGACTGTCATTTTTGATCAATTTAATGCATCGATCCTTGTTGAATAAAAATATTAATTTCATAAAAAAGATCTTACTGACGTCAACATTTTAAACCGTTATGTACAGTTTTGGTTTGTTTATTGCGAAATAACTCCCGATTGTTTCTCTGTCATCTAAGCAAGGCTTCGTTTCCCAACCGCACTGGGCCTGTGAGCTCAGCGAAGCACCAGCATCGAATGCTCTCTGTGATTGATTGGTTTCGTCTTGTATACAGATGACTAGGAGAAAAGGTTCTATCCTACACAATTACCCGCTAACATTCGC